GATGGGTGGAGAGCCACAGAAAATATTGCGCCTTTGGTAACTTTATGAACAGTATCTTCATTAATGACCATGCCACTTAAATTGGCTTTATAGCTTTTAATATTAGCTAACTCCTTCTCAGTATTCTTACTACTTGTCTTGCTCACATTTGCCCAAGTCTGTAGAAATCTTTTAAATAGTTCACTGTCATCATCTCGATTTTCAGGAGTCATTTCTAAAGGCCCAGGAGGTAACAAAGGATTTTCATCTGCTATTAATGTCGGCTGAGTTGGGGTTGCTGGTAATGACACTCCTGAAGGATCTACTTTTAGTAATCTCATTGACCTTCTACATCCAGTCCCATTTTCTCTCTTCTTAGGCTTTTTTCTTTTGGATTCAGGAGGCTGCCTCTTCTTTACCATTTCACGGAGCCTTGCAGCTGACTCAGACAACTGAAGAGAAGCAAAAAAGTTTGCATTTTCTGATATATTCTTCAGTCTCTTCCTTTCGTACGATGACAATCCTGAAAATTCATCCAGGCCTGGTGTGGTATCTTCATCACTGTCTAGATCCTGACTGCTTTCCGTATCAACACTGAGAATCACTGTATCCGAAGTGCTCTTGTGTTGTCGCTTGTTACTTTCAGTATAAACATCTAAGGATGATTTTTGCAGAGTAGATTCTGCCTTGGAAGACGTGCCTTCCATCCTTGGAGTTAAAATCCTTCTGCAAGTTTTCCTTATTTCAGTCTCCTTACATTTCTTACATGCAACTTCATTGTTAGAATTCTTATCCAATAGGGATTTGGAGTGCTTAATTTGGTCTGGCTTGTAATTACTGAGTGAAAAGGGAACAAGATAAACCTTAGGTGTTTTTCCTAAAACTGTAGTCTGTACTGGTCTCAGAGATACACAAGTGATGTTTTGATTTTCTTTATATTCATTCACCTTCATCTGGAGTCGCTGTCTGGAGCCCACCTTCTCCTCACTGCCCGCGCGCAACCCCGACATCTTTCGGCGGCTTAGCAGCTGGCGTCTTCCCCCCCAGAGCCATTGTTTTGGGGGTTTTTTTTACTGTATATTTAAGAATTTTATTTATTTATTTTCTTTTTATTAACATATAAGGTATTATTTGTTTCAGGGGTACAGGTCTGTGATTCATCAGTCTTACACAATTCACAGCATCCAGAGCCATGTTTTCAAGCTTTGGGAGCACATTATAAGACTGACTCGGGCATATCTGCCTTCCTAATTCCATCTACTTAGGCTATGTTAAAATTAATGACACTTCCCGCACCTCCTCTGGTAGTGGTAATGCCCAGTGTGCTTACTGGACAGAATATTAGAAATTTACTGCAAATAATCCTCAAGTAATTGAAAGCTGTTTCAATTGCAGTTTAAAACTTGTTAAATTCATTTTTCAAATGTTCGGGAATTCCAGAGTCTCCTGATCTATCTGCCCCAATTCTAGATTTTTGTACAGAACTCATCTTCTGAAGTGAAATTATCTTGTGTTTCCAAGAGTTGACATACAACCTGTCTCCATGTCTTCACCTTCCACCTGCTAGTCAGTCCATTCTAATCTGGTTTCTACCCCCTTCACTCCAACAAAAACAATAAAATTCTTCCTGAGATCATCCCTATTACCTCTAAGTCATTAAGTAAATGGACTTTTTTAGGCCTTTCAATAGAATCTAGCCTCTCTGACTAATTCTCCTTGAACTGACATTTCCCCTCTTGGCTTTAGTGAGGAAACAAGCGCCTGGTCTGTTCTCTTCCTGCGTGGCCAGACCTTCACCATCACCTGAGCACCCTGACCCTGACAGCTAGCCATTAGGTGCTAAAATCCCTCAGGCTTCTGTCCAGTCTTTCTTCTCTTCTTACCCTTACTCCTCACTTGGCTTGTCCTCTTTGAGGTGTCAAACTATGGAAAGTGATCTCCCCCCACAGGCCCAGCCACCTTCTAGGAGTCTCCATTTCAAAGAATGGAACCACCATCCAACCAGGTGCAAGAGCCAGAAATTCTGTAGTCCTTGCCATTTCCCTCTGCTTCACCTTCTATACCCAATACATCGCCAACACAGCTCAGTGTCTCCTCCTCAAGACAAACACACAAGTAACGAATGCACCCACTCCTCTCTGCTTGGCTGCCATCACCCCAGCCCCATTGGCCAGTGTTTCCCCAGGAGACCACTGTTAACAGCCCCCTGACTGCTCCGCCTGCATTCACAGCAGGCTTCCATACTCAGCCAACAGTCTTTTCTAAAGGAAGATCTGATCACACCACTTCCTTTCCATGGTGTCCCACTGCTTTTAGGATAAATGCAAAACCCCTTGTCAAAGCCTATAGGACCTGCATGGTTCTGGGCACTCCCTACGCACCTCACACCATAGCTCCTTTCTATCTCTCTGCCCTGCCAGAGCTTCCTTGTCTTCTTAAGGTACTCTGAATTCACCAGCATTCTTCTTTAGCACATGTCTGCATTGTCTGGAAATGCTCTTCCTCTCTTTTTACCCATTTAATTGGAATTCAATCCTAAAAAATTCAGTCATCGCTTTTCCAGGATTTTCATCACTTTTTCCCATTCAGTCCTCCCAGGAAGGGTCAAATCCCCTATTATAAGTACTCATGCTACTAAGTCATTAAAAACTGCCACAGTAGCAGTTTACATTTGTCTAATTATTGGATTGTCTGTCTCTGTGGAAGTTTAATGCGAGTAGGGACTCTATGTGGGTTTGCTCACAGTTAAATTCCCCGTAGTTGGCTAGGAAACTGAGTGGCACATAATAGATGATTTTATACACACACACACATACACACACACACACACACACACACCCCACACTAAGTGAATCATTACAGTTAAAGTCTAAAATGTGTTATTTTAACACCTGGGCACACTTCAACTTCTCAATCACTTTTATGTTTTTAGAGCATACAACCTACTCATAAAATATGTCAACAAATCCCAAATCTTGAAATTGCCCAGTTAATGAGTGGAAATCAGGCTTAAAGGAGATAGGACTCTAAAATGATATAACTACCTTTTATATTATAGACATGCAGTACTTTAGACACAGCAAAGATTAAATAAATATCTTCTGAATATATGAACTTTGACTTGTAAGTCAAAGTAATTATGGCAAATAATTCTGTCGATTGTAGACAGTTTTTTTCCTATAGTCTTGAAGAAAGATTTAGGGCCCAAACTTCAAAATTATAGGGAACTGAACTTCAAATATTTTAAGAGAATGAGCTACCCAAAAATAGAATGAGAAAGGCTACCTTAGGAGGTAATAAGTTTTTGTCACTAAAGATTTTCTAGAAGAGTCTATACACCATTTGCCAAAGATTTTACAAAAGAACGCATGAGATATTTCTGCAGTGTAACAATTGTTCAGAATAATTCCTTTGGAAAGAACCATGCCTAAAATACCTTGTCTTCCACAATGCTTAACACAGTAACTTTACACAGGGCAAAGTTCTGTAGATATTTGCTGACCAAATTAGTTTACTGCTTTCAGAGCCTATGGCAATTTATTTGAATATTTTCTCTGGTGGCCCATCTCTACCCTTTAAGGGTAAATTTCATTTGGGGAAACAGTAAAAAGGCATTAGAAATCAAATTTGATGAACAAGGCAGATAAACTAGGCAATGCATTTCAGCTTATACAAGATTTTAAATGGTGGTGAAATACTGTCTGTTATCACCTACCACTGAATCTGGCATGGGGTAAATGACCACTGAACTGTAGGTTTTCTTATTATTATATGCTAAATCTGAGAGCAAGTTCTCAAAAAGGAATCAAATAAGAATAATATTTTAAGAATGGGAGTGCAGTGATTCTTTTAAAAGAAACAAACTCATTTGGAAATTGTGGGGTGGTACATTTGTTAAAATCAGTCTCACCACTTAACTGTATTAACAAAGATTATATCCCATTTTCCCTGAACCTCGACTACTGGGGTAAGTACCTATTGTAAAATTTGGCTAAGCATTTTTGCTATAATATTGAATGCAGAATCCTCAAGATTACAGGCTCATCCTACATGAATATGTTTCTCTTAAATACAGATTTTAAATCCTTTTCCCATGCAGGCGTTCTTTGGGGCCCGTCAGTTGGTTGAGCATCACACACTGCACTGATGTGCTGATATTAACCTTCTGACGTTTCCTCCAAAAGAGAATAAAGAAGAAAAAATAGAAATTGGGACCTTGTCCTGGAAACTCAGATGACAATGAGCATGCTATAATTGGAGTGCTTTAAAAACGTGAAAATGAAGCAAAACCTTTGCCCAGTGCTATTTCCAGAATAAGTGAATGACTATACATTCTGTGGATAAGAAAAGAAAAACACCTGGGACCTCTGGGCTAGGCTGACATTTTCCGGCAGGGCGGCTAGACGTCTGCGCTGTCGAGGCTTCGCTTTCTTCTGTGGAGACTTCATAATTTTATCCTCTGCAATACACTCTACATCAGAGTTTGTCCCTTCTGGGTTTCTCTTCCAGCCTCTGTGGCTGACAGAAAGCTCAAAGGAGGCAAGAGATTCCTGCTTCAAGTTATCGCCCCAAGGCCTGACTTTCTGAGTTTTTGTATTTTCCTGGAATAACAAAGAACATGTTTTCATTTTGGGGGAGCCAGCTTATTTATAATTATCATTTCCCTCAAAACCTTATGACATTAGGCGATACTTATTACTAAAAAAAACTTTAAAAAGGAGCAGTGCGGAAAATAGGCTTTAGCAAATATATACCACTGTAATAGCTCATTCATGAATTTGGTTCAGCAGAGGAGGCCTGAGCCAAGAAATCTTCTGATTCTGAGGATGCAGAAGACTACAGACAGAACATAGTATGTTTCCTGACTTCCTCCCAACAGAGGTTTACATACTTTTGGTTCCTGTATGTCAATAACCTGGCTAAAGGTTGGATGGGGTATATCAAGCCTATCATCTGCCCGTTAAGAAATAAGAATAACTAAAATTGCAGAGTTTTCCGTGTGTGTGCACACACGTTGTGTGTGATTGGTATAACTGAAAAGCCCTAAAGGTCAAATAATATTCTCTCTAAAATTTAAATTTTAGATAGTAACAGACATTGGAGGAATATAATAGGACATATAGGAAACACAAGAAACAATGTAGGAATTACATACACAATATATTTCTAGGCAAATATAAATCCATAGACTGAATCAGTCAATGTCTCTTTCTATATATATGATTATGTGTATACATATACACATATATAACCATAGAAAATATGGAAAATACATTAAAATATTTAAAATGGTCAACATTATGTAATGTATGGTGACTAACATAAAATTTTAAAAAATAAAAGTAAAATGGTCATTTCCAGAGTGTAAAACAATGAGTGATTTAAATTTTCTTATTTATCTCTTACTTTATTTTCTAAGTTTTTCCTAATAAACATGTATCACTCTAATAAGACAAAAAAATAATGGCAGTTAAAAATATGTGTCAGTGCTTCACTCTCTGAACCTCATTAACCATGGTGACATTTGGCCCTTGATAAAGTCTTACCCTTCATATGGGAAACATGACACAAATGGCTAAATCCTACTTTAATGACTCACCTTAGATGCTGAAGTTTGGCAGGTAGGAGTGAATTCAGTGATCCTACTTGTTGGTATAAACTGAGGCTTTTATGGAAAAAAATCATTAGATAAATGTAAGTAAAAATAACTTTCAACTGGAATATTACAATAATCCAATAATCTTCATTTCTTAAAGGAGTTTCAAGGTTGCACACCCCCACTGGTAATTGTTTAAGGGGTCCGTTGTAGTTTAGATATACTGCAACAATGTTCTGATGAGTGGTGAGTGGGTAACATAAAAGAATGCAATGGTTTGTCAAAGCATTATAGATCAGATGTCTGATGAGCAATTTCAGGAACTGCTGTATCAAACATGCCTCCACAGCCCCTGTCTGTTTTTTCTGGAGACCCTTTGTTCCCCACTTGCAGGTCCCAGCATCTGGAATGAATCGGGGCTGGAGCTTCAAGGGACTCTTGAGGGTAGACTGGCCTCAGCGGTATGCCTAATACCTGGATGATGCTTCTGCTCACAGGCACAGCGAGAGAGAGAGGAAGCATTTGCTCTCCCTGGAAAAGAAGTACCTTTTAAACTAATATTTTGATGTGATGATGTTCACGTTTAAAATGATGAGATGTTAATGAAGTACACCGAGAGAAGATAAAGAGTAATACAGGCCCTGCACCCCAGACTCAGGTTCATTGCCCTTAGGATGCGAGCCTGGTTAGGGGTCTGCTTGGACCTCCTTCATGATAGTACACCCGATCATATTTACTGCGTCACAAACACCCATGCCGTAACCAGCTCAGCGACCAGATTCTCTAGGACATAAAATTTACTTTCCTCTTCTAAGTACCCTACCCCAAAAACTGAAGTCCCAACTGATTAAGGGTTGGTTCTGCTCTCTGCTGAGAACTTTTCCAATGTGGATGGCCTGCATAGATTTTGAAATGGTGCCTTTTCCTCTGTTCTGAGACCCAAATGCCTCTTGGAACGTCCTATAAAATGCAGGTATCTTTCAAGACAACCTTTTCAAAACAATTATTTCGCTTCTATAGCTGCACCCGCCTTCAACCAGGATTTCCTAATGCATTCCCTCTCCTGACTAGTGACATCACCAAACACCCAGACACCAAAGCTAGGTTAGCTTTGGTCCAACATCACCCTCAACCCTCTCCACCTAATCAGTGATGAACGTGTGGGTTTCTCCACTTAAATCTCTTTTAAATTCAAGATTTTCCCTAGCCTCGTGTCACCATATTGTTTTAAGGTTTTTATCATCTCTTGATTGAACTATTTTCTATAATCTTGTTTTTCTTGCTTTCTTCCCTTCCCCCGAACCCCCAAAGGAAAATTAATTTCTTTATCTTCTATAACCCCATAGCACTGTTCCTTTTTAGATGTTTATGCAGATAACATATTCACATGGAATACACATTTTTTTTTAAAGATTTTATTTATTTATTTGACAGAGAGAGTGAGAGAGTACAAGCAGGGGGGGGTAGTAGAGGGAGAGAGAGAGAGAAGCAGGCCTCCTGCTGAGCAGGGAGCCCGACATGGGGTTCGATCCCAGGACCCTGAGATCATGACCTGAGCCGAAGGCAGACACTTAACCATCTGAGCCACCCAGGCGCCCCGGAATACACATTTTTAAAAGTATATTTTTAAAAGTCTCCTTACGACTCCATTCTTCATTTGTCCAGTTCACATTCCACTGCTATTATTTTTCCGTTTATCTTTCCAGAGATACTGTTTTAATCTCATACAGAAGCATATATAAGTAAGTTTTTCCCACCTTTTTTGAGGTAGGGAAAAATGGTAGTATATTATACATGCAGTCTGCATCTTGCTTTTACACTAAGGATACATCCTAGAGATCTTTATTAGTACTTAAAAAAACTTCATTTCCTTTTACAGATGCATCATATTCTAATGTATTGTTGTACAAAAATTTATTTAACCAGACCTGCTGATAAACATTTAGGTCTTCTCAACATTTTACTGTACAAAGTATTTTGTAATGACATGTAAAATAGGTAATTTTGTAAATAAGTAATTTTGTATTTGTGTATGTATATATAATCAATTTTTAAAAGTGCAATTTCTGGTTCAAAAGGTATATGCATTTGTAATTTGGATAGACACTGTCACATTGTCTCCATCAGGCTTTTTGGTGGTTCAGCATACAGTCATCCTTATGAATATTTCAAGAGCAGTGATAAAAAAGACATTCTCTATTTTGAGAGTAGAGAGTATATATCAATTATATATACATTATTATTATATATTATTGGCTGTTTAGATATTCCTAGGTTGAGGGCCAATTAAAGTTTCCTATTACCAGCATGATTGACTCTTTTTCCATGTATCATTTGTAGGTTTTTGCTTTATGGAACTCAACGTTAGCTGATATGAGAGATTCATAATGGATACATCTTTATTATAAACTGAAGGCTTTAGCCTAATTTAATGCCCTTCCTTGCACATTTAATGTTTTTTCCCTTGAATTCCAAATTAATGTTAGGCTGGACCCCTATTTGATTTTTGTACATTTGTTTGAAATCACGTTCAATCTTTCTGAATTGCCATTTTAGATGGGTGTCTTCTGAACAGCACAGGATCCAGGTTTGCCTTGTGATGCTACCTCAAGTTCCTTGTTCTTTATTAAGGTAAGGTTTAGGCCATTTGCATTTATTGATACCATATATGTGGTTGGTATTAGCTGTCATATTATTTATTTTGTTTTTATAATTTCTCTTAAGTTTTTAATGATACAGTCCATTTTCTTTTGTTTTGTGTGGGTACCTCTTCTGATATTATACAGGGTTTTTCTTTTCCCCCGAGGGGCTTCCATTACAATGATAATTTTATAAAACCCTTATTCTTAGTTCTTTCCATCTTTAGACAGTATCTATAAGTTTCCTACTCTGGATGATGACAAAATTTTTCTCTACCTTCTTTTCTTCCACTGTCCGGTATTTACTGGTATTCTCTTTCTCCATATTTACATCAGTACCAAAAAGTATGCTTAAATTGCTTCAATGATACCTCTTGATCTCTTTATATATGAGGCAAACACATTACCTTTCACCTTCTCTCATCCGTGACTTCTTTTTTTGTTAGTTGAATTATTTCTACGTTGCCAGGGAATTTATATTCAGTTTGGTACCTAAGGTTACATATGGTTTAGGCTATAGTTTAACTATAGTTATAGCCTATAGCCTATAGTTAAATATAGTCAGTGCCTATTTCCAGTTTTTTTGCTGTAGAATTTTCAGGTATCTCTTGGCTGGTTGAAGTTTGATCTTGTTTTCCTCTAAAAGGGATTTCTGGGTTTTTTCCGTTTTCAAAACTATTTGTTTGTAGGCTTTTTATTTGAGGGGTGTTGTGGTGAATATAAAATTCTTGGTTTATACCTCCTTTTCTTGAAGGTCTTATAGTTCTTACTTTACTATCACCCGAGCAAAGTTTTCTGTAGAAAATTTGAAGCCAATCTGATTTTTTTTGTCTCTATAAGTGATTTGATCTTTATGCCTACGCATCAAAACATTTTACCTTTTTCTGTACAGTTGAGTAACTTTTCTAGTATATGTCTTATGGTTGACTATTCTTGGGATAGTTTATGCTAAACATGCAGTGTACTGTTTCAAATATGTAGCTTCAAGATTTTTTGTTTTTAATTCAAAGTTTTCCTGATTTATAACTTTATTTTTAAAATTTTATTTTATTACATTATGTTAGACGCCATACATCATTAGTTTTTGATGTAGTGATTTCGTATAACACCCAGTGCTCCATACAGTACGTGCCCTCCTTAATACCCATCACTGGGCTAACCCATCCCCCCACCCCCCTCCCCTCTAACACCCTCAGTTTGTTTCTCAGAGTCCATAGTCTCTCATGGTTCATCTCTCCCTCCAACTTCCCCCCCTTCATT